AAGTGATGGTGTTCATTTTAAACAAATTCACTCCTTTCAGTACCAGATATCATTAGATGAGTCTCTCCTCTTCTTACTAATTTGTGAATCACCATTCAATCTGCACCCCATCTATAACTATGCCTCTTTTTCCCTCAGTACTCTTGTTTAAAGAAAAGTAAATAGTTGATAGCAAACTATCACTGTACTTACTATGCAAATTACAATGCTAACTATTTTATATACATTTACTTAAACCTGACAACACCCTATGAAATAAATATAAATACCCCTTTTTTTTCTGAGCCTCTTAAAACCTAACTAACCAAGCTGCCCAAAGTCACAGTGGTGGAGTTGACATTTGAACCCAGATCTATAAACTATATTGTAAGCTATATTATAGGCTATATTGTACTATCTTCCTAGTACAAGGATTTCTGCATATTCCCTCCAAATCACTCAACTTTTTTCATCCAGCCACCTTGAAATCCACAGATATTTGAGTTCCTTGTCAGATAACTCCCAAAATATGTATGTAGTAACTCCATAAACACTTTTGACCATGTAATAAATACCAGACATTAGAACAGTGAGTACATTCAGTTTCTGCTCTGAAGATCAAGGAATGAGAGTATATGTAGGACAGGAACATCTGGAAAAACATAATAAGTACAGATTCATAATGTCTTATCTACAATTATGAAACCTCAAAATGCTGAAAACCAAAAAATTATTCTGTAAATTGTAAAACTTTGGCATCAACACCTTACCTGAATTGGCTACTTATTATTACTTATTAAGCTACTTATAATCTTCAGTGATCCCACTCAGCGTGACTATTGGATCTGACTGTTGAATACAAATTTGCCAGGCAGCCAAAGAGGAGAAGAAAATGCAGTTACATGGAGCTACATGAAACAGCCTGAACAAAATCACAAGACAATAATATGTGGTCAGGGGAAGGGGATTATGTGGGAAGGTGGCAAAAGAATAAAGCTGATCAATACCAAGTGGTCAAATCCCAGAAATGCTATGAAATGCCTTACAAAGTTTGGATTTGTCCCAGATGGTTAAAAAGTGATCTGGAAGGATGTTAGGCCAAGACAGGTAAGGCAACCATATGTCTCAGATGCCAGGACAGGATTGGGTTCTTCCTGCTATCCTGGCATGACTGGTAGCACAGCTTTTCACTTTCACAAGTAACTAGTGTGGATGAAATAGTTTATGGTCCCCTAAAAGGTAGAACCAGATACTGATTTTATTTTTTTATTTTTTAAAGATTTTATTTATTTATTTGACACAGAGAGAGAGATCACAAGCAGGCTGAGAGAGGCAGGCAGAGAGGGGGAAGCAGGCTCCCTGCTGAGCAGAGAGCCCAATGTGGGGCTTGATTCCAGGACCCTGAGACCATGACCTGAACTGAAGGCAGAGGCTCAACCCTCTGAGCCACCCAGGCACCCCCAGATACTGATTTTAGAAAGAAAATTGTCATCAGTAGGGAAAATGAAATTAAGGTCAGAGATTTCCACAGCACTTTTTCCTAGGATGAGAACAACCTTGTGAATGCCAAAGCCCATCACTTGGGAATGGTGGCATAAATGAATGCCATCAAATTTTTGTGGGTAGAGCATAATTCTCTAATAACCATAAGTAAGAAGGGAGGCATTTTCAGTTGTGAACCGAAAACTACTTGTATCCTTGCCCTACCCCACATTGTCCTGCAGTCTCCTTGTTTCTTGGCTTTTGGCTCCAACTGGGTAGAAATGAGCAGATTGAGCAGTTAAAATATCCATAAAAATATAAATGGAGCCAAATATACATAAAGATTATGAAACCATATTATAGTATTTATTCCTCCATTTAAAGCCATAGTTAATCATCAGGAAGCACATTTTATATATTTTTTCTTTTTTTCCTCAAGTCCTGGGACTAATGAATAATTAAAAAGTAAAAATAAGGTAAACTACAAAATGTAAAGTATGATCACACATTCCTCATTTCCCAAAATAAATGGGAAAGATATTCAATGGTTGCTTTAATAAGCAACTGGAAAAATGAGGTAAAATATTAATATCTATGTATAATAGCGTGCCAAATTAATTTTTATTCTTATAATAAAATAGAATTAAAAACTTGGAATTATTTCAATTTCTGAATAGGTTTCCATTAGCTACAAATTAAGAGTTTAAGCACAACCATTTTATCTTACTAATCAGGAAAATGTAAATTAAAGCAAGGTATCATTTCCTGATCGTATTAGTGAAAATTAAAGTACATCAGCATTTTTTTGAGACTGTAGGAACTGGTAAACTCATAAAATGTTTTTGTTATGGTTACTCTGAGGTTCTTTTGGAAATATCTAGTAACATTAAATACGTGCATAACCTATGACTTTGCAATTCTATTTTTAGATACTGACCTTAAAAAAATATTCACAAATACACACAAGAAGTAAGGTGCAAGGATGCTCATTGTAGGTAACTGTTGTAACAGCAAAACACTGGACATAATCTAAGTAGCTGTCATGAGGAAGTAGTATGGAATAATGTGAGATGATGTTAAACCTCAAGGATCATTGAATTTTAAAAAAAATTGGAGAAATATATAGCAAGCTATTTATGTTTTTTAAAAAGTATATTAAACAATTCTATGTTTTTGTGAGGTTTTTTTTTTAAAGAAACACCTTAGTGCTTGGGCTGGACAGATACACACCAAATGGGATCAAAGGTTGCTTCTAGAGAGGAGTGGGAAATCCTGAATTTGTGGTAGTAGTTAAAGGAAATTAGATTTGTTCTTTATTAGTTTGCTAAGTCTTTCATAACAAGGTACCTAGACTGGTGGCTTAAACAACAGAAACTTATTTCTCCACAGTTGTGGAAACCAGAAGTCTGAGATCAAGGTGTCAGGAGGGTTGATTTTTTTTTTATCTGAGGGCTGTCCCCTTTGGCCTGTACGCAGCCACCTTCTCCGTGTCTTCACGTCATCTTTCTCCCTGAGTATCTTTGTCCTCATCTCCTCTTCTTATAAGGACACCAGTCACTGGAATAGGGCCTATTCATAGGACCTCATTTTGCCTCAGTTACTAATCTAAAGGTTCTATTTCCAAATGCAGTCACATTCTGAGGCCCTAGTATATTAGGACTTCAACATAAGAAAGTGGAAGGGATAAAGGAACAGATAAGAGTTCAGCCTCTAACATATTCCTAACTTTTTATTTTGAACAAATAAAAGATTGGATTCATATTTTACAAAAATGAGGCTAAGCAAAGTTGTAAAAGAAAATTACAAGGTTATTTACATCTAGAAAAATCTCCCTTTACAAGAACTCTACTTGATTCTGAAGAGGGCTAGTATACCAAGTTGCTAACATTGGTTATCTTAGGAGGTTGAAAATGGAAGTGGGTAGTGGAAAATCATTAACTTTTTTTAAAAACAGACTTTACGGTTTAGAGCAGTTTTAGATTTACATAAAAATTGGGGGAAATAGTACAAAGGTCCCATGTACCTGACACCCAGTTTCTCCTATTATTAACATTTAACATTAATATGGGACATTTGTTATGATTAATGAACCAGTATTGATACATTGTTAATTAAAGTCCATACTTTTTTCACATTTCCTTAGTTTACCTAATATCCTTTTTCTATTCAAGGAGTCTGTCTAGGATACCATCTTTTATTTAGTTGTCATGCCTCCTTTTGGCTGTGATAATTTCTCAGGCTATCTTTTTATCTGGGAAGCTTGGCAGTTTTGAAGAGTACTCATCAGATACTTTATAGAATGCCCTTCTACCAGAATTTGTCTTATATATTTCTAATGTTTAGACTCGGGTTATGGATATGGGGAAGAAGACAACAGAGTTAGAGTGCCATTTTCATCACTTATCAGGGGTGCATACTATCAACATGATTCATTATAGTCGATGTTCACCTCGATCACCCAGGTGAGGTTTCTAGAGTTACCTTTTTTTTTCCCCTTACTTTTTCCATGCTCTCCTTTTCGGAAGGAAGTCACTATGTGTAGTCCACACTTAAGGAGTCGAGAGCTGTGCTCCACCTCCTTGAGAGCAGAGTATCTACATAAATTGTTTGAAATTCTGCACAGATTTGTTCCTTCTCTCCCATTCATTTATTGACTCAATCTTACTTTTTTTTTACTATATTTCTTTAAATTATTTTACATAATTATCATGTATTAAGTTTGTGAATATTTTAAAGTAAGTTTATTTTAGAGATATTTAGGTAACACATCATTAATTTGGAACTTTAAAAAGAAGGAACATGCATGGTTATCAGAAAGGACCTGGGGAATTTAAAAATATGCTATTACTATACCCATTCTCTGTTAGTAACATGTTATCCTCATTTAGACTATAGAAAGTGGTTTATGCAAATATTTAACATTATTCCCTGCTTCAAGAGTGAGAAGTTTGCATCTTTAGATAAAAGATGAAGCAAACAGAAGCCTTTCCTGCTGTATGCATTCTCCAAGTTTCTTTCTTTTTTTTAAAGATTTTATTTGTTTATTTGATAGAGAATGAGAGAGCACAAGTAGGCAGAGAGGCAGGCAGAGAAAGAGAGGGGGAAGCAGGCTCCCTGCTGAGTAGAGAGCCTATTGCGGGGCTCGATCCCAGGACCCTGAGACATTGACCTGAGCTGAAGGCAGAGGCTTATCCCACTGAGACACCCAGGTGCCCCTCTCCAAGTTTCTTAAGCTTTGTAACTTCAAGACAGATTACAAGCTGCCACCTTCAGTTTGCAAACTCTTGAACCCCTTGTAGTGTTCCTGGAAGTGACATGCTTTTTCTGTGTATAGTTTGAAGTTTTCATATATCTCCTTTGAGAATTTTCAGGCACAGTTATTAATCTTTCCTCCCTACAAAGATAAATTAAAAGTAAATTTTGAAATTCTCAGTCAGAAAGCTATTAATAATAATCATAGGTAAATCATCTCACCATTGTTGCTCTTTTATCTACACTATCAATGAATTAACATTTCTTTACATTGTAATTTTTTCCAGATATTTCAGTCAGCTTGTTAGCGGTGGTTGTCAGCTTCTGTGGCCTGGCCTTGTTGGTTGTTTCACTTTTTGTCTTCTGGAAGCTGTGCTGGCCTTGCTGGAAGAGCAAACCGGTGACTTCCAACATCAGTACCCTTCCACAGAGCATTTCAAGTGCTCCTACTGAAGTTTTTGAGACTGAAGAGAAAAAAGAAGTTAAAGAAAACGAAAAGCCAGCTCTAAAAGTTATTGAACCTGCTATAAAAATCAGCCACACTTCCCCTGATATCCCAGCAGAAGTCCAAACTGCTTTAAAAGAACATTTAATTAAACATGCACGTGTGCAAAGACAAACTACTGAGCCTACGTCTTCATCCCGGTAAGGAAAGATCAAATACATAAAACTGGGCGTGTGTGTGTGTGTGTGTGTGTGTGTGTGTGTGTGATTTCATAAGAGAAAAAAAACTGAGGTGGGAAAGGAGAAAAGAAAAGACAAACAGGAGAAATGAGAAGGACACAGGAAACAGATAACTGAATAAGGAGGAAAAGGACAGAGTAAGGATCAAAGAAACTCAGGACAAAGGAGCCAAATAGGGAGCAGTGCCAGAAAGTTTAGTAGATTCTGAAGTCTCAGTAAAATCATATAACTACAGATTATTATTTATGAACTCTTTCCTTTAAAATAGCGTGGCTCAATAGATGCTACTTGCAGTCTTTCAATTTAGTTTAAGTCGACCAATAAATACCAAGAAAACAGCCATTTGCAAAGTCTGTCATGGAATCATTGAGCACTTCACAATCAAAATTGAGTAACAGACACTAATTTTTTACACTAATAGTGTAAACACTAGTTTACAGTTGTTTAGCAACTACACTGTCAACATGGAACCACAGGAAAATGTTATTTGAATCCACACAGACCAAACTCTTACACTGGGCAGAGTGCGAGACACTCCGCCAGGCTTTTGGTGGATATCGTGAGTATACTGAAGAGCACACAGAAAATGAGAGAAAAGGGAGGCCTCTTTGTGGAGATACATTTTAACTCTGCTTGGAAAATTCAGCAGAAGATCTCTTGAATAAAAATAATTTGCTATAGTGTATTTCAAATTACACTAATGTAAAAAAAATTTTGTGTGAAGATAAAGCTTTAAAGACACTCAAAAAATTTAGGGTAAAAATGTTCAATTACCTTACAAAACTTTTTTTTTTTTAAATATTAGCAGCAGCTATGGACATCAGTGAGCTTAGCATTTAGAATTATTCAGCTCTTTTAACTGATAAGTGCACCCTACACAAGGACACTTTCTCTCTTGATCCTAAAAAAAAACATAAAGATTGAATTATACATATCTCATATTTTCTAAGAGAAAAAGTAGAAGACAAATTCAAAGTTCTACTAGAACTTTGATATCATTTCATCTGCCTCTTTGAATTTTCTTGTTTATGTGAGTGGGTAAGAACGGAAGAAGGAAAGAATTATTGTGAGCACTTGCAATTTAGCCACTATGCTAGGCAGCCTTCCTGCTAATCCTTGGCCAACCTGCATGAGGTAAGTATTATTAATCATTCCCATTACTTGTGGTTTAACTCAAACCCAGAGAGATTTAAAAATTTGCCTGAAGTCATGCGGCTGGCAAAAGTTAGAATTCAAATTTATCCAGATTGATAATTTCACATTTTAAGTGTGAAAGCCAAGGGGATATAGTTTTCTGAACTCAAAGATGTTGATCACAAAGTCCGCTGAGGACAGACGGTTTGGAGATTGAAAAATAAGGGTATCTTCCTGCTCATTATTCTCAGAAATCTAAAATTGTAAGTGATTATTGTGAATGATCAGAGTCATGATTTTAATCTCTTTGGCATTGAGATGAATTCCTTGCAGAAAACTTGATTGTGTGTAGTTCTCAAAACCCCTCTGCTACATTAATTACTTCATCACACCCGAAATGACCTTATATGAAAGGAGGAGGAAATTGCTGAGTGCATTAGGCAGCCCACTTGGACACAGAGATCAAAGATACATTATCATAAATCAGATTATTCTGATCAAATCCTAACTTTTCACTAAAATGTAGCAAAATCAGACCACACACATACACACACACATACACACACACACACACACACACACACACAATTAATTTAATGCTTGATTTCATCACCTTATTAGGCTATGCCAGCTCCAGTCTGCTGTTGGGACTCCCTTTGACTTGGCTCAGACAGTAGAGGACAAACTTCTTAGCCTTTCAAGCTTTATTTGTCTCTATAATTTCATAACATTTTGATTGGTCCAGAACTTAACAGCATTGCTGGAAACGGGCACATTTTCCAGGTTCTCATCTTCCTTTTCAAATGCCTGTACATTTGGTCCCGTCAGCCTGCCAGAGACCAAACAGCCAGCCAGGAGGCATCCGTGTATTTCTTTATTACTAACATTCTTCTAGCCTGTATCTTGATCGACTGTTCATTCATCCTGTAGTCTTATTCAGTAGATATTTAGTGATGAGTATCACCGAATATTATGCATACTCCGTCCACTCTGTAAATCCAAGGGAACTGGAAAAAAATTTACAACATAATGCAAAGATAAGACATGAAAGACCAGCTTCAATATGAGAAATTACAAGTGCAAACTGTGGTAGAGAATGTGGAATTCTGAGAACAGAAAGATTATTTCCAGCATGAGGCTGAGAGAAGGGCCATTAAGGAATCCAGGAATTCACATGAATGGCTACTGGGAAAAGGTGTGCATCCCATATGGAAACATTTTATGTGAAAAGACACAGAATAGGAAACATTACCGTGAAAACAGCAGGCAAAATACCTTGATCAGAAAATGGAGTTTAGTGGAGGAATAAAGGAAGAAGAGAAAGTCAGCTAGAATCAAAGTATAAGAGGCCTTGAAATCATGGCCAAGATGTTCAAGTTCTGTCCTGTCAAAAAATATTTGGCACAGAAGAGTCCCTTGTATAAAGAGCTATGTTTTAGAAAAATTAATTTGGCAATAGGTTAAAGGACAGACTAAAGAAAATGACATGTATTTAGAAACTTATGTAATAGTTAAAGCATGATAAAAATTAGGAAAAAGCAAACAACAACCGAAAGACAAAAGCCTGAGGGCAGTTGTAAAAAAAAAATCTAAGACCCCTTATAAAAAGCACTGTGACTCTTCAAATCATTACGAGCATAGCCTAAACCTCTTCAAAGCCTGCCATTCGAACTATTAAAATTGGATGATACCAAGCTACCATGCAAGCATTTTAATTCCATATTCCCCCACACATACAGCTCTGTGTTGCTTTCTTAGGCAGAAAATCTGCCAAGTTCACTTTGGTATTGTTCTTGACACCTAGATAAAATACTGAAGGAACTCGGGCTACATTTTTTAGTTTAAAAAAAAAAAATAAATGAATTTGATAACCTCATCTATCTATCCAAATGGATATTTTATGACTGCCCACGAAAGGAATGCTTGGTCTTTTGACTGTCCTCCTGTAGACCTCACCTCTCTGCCTCTGTGTTTTTGCTTGTATTGCTTCCCATGTCTGGAATGGTGACCTGTTTTTTATCTACTATAAGATGTTTAAGGAAATTGTATCTGAAAGTCTACTTTTTCTGGCCAGTTATAAGCTATTATTCTTTATTACTTAAAGGAGAGGTGCTACAATCTAGCAATTATTGATTGTCCTAATATTAAGCTGTACTACTTGCCAAACTCAATGCTACCTTCCCAGAGAACAAGGCTGTGTAGCCTACTTTCATGCATTCCTAATTTCTATCACTGTGTAGGCACTTAATAAGCATCAAGTGACACTTTTGATTGATTGGTCATCTCTCCACTTCACTTTGCTCCTTTAATAACAGTGTCAGGTTGTGAGATAAACTGCTCATTTTAGAAAGAGGTTAATGATGTTATACTCCTAGGATGAGTATGAGGACCAATTTTCCATGCATTCTATTAATGATGCCCAGAAGAGGTGAATAATAAGTGGCAAAATACATTGTTGAGGATGAGGAGTTATGTAGGTTAGCCACTGCTAGAGAGGAGTCTAACTGTCTACTGAAAAGTAATTAGGAAACCTAATGGCAGAGCCAACTGAACATGAACAAAAGCAAGAAAGCATTCATGGGAAGAAATCATTGACTTATATGTGCTCCTGGACTTACAATAAGCTATGGTTGCTTGGAAAATAATTTTTTAAAATTATCACATAAGAGAAATGAAAGAATTATGTAAAAATACATAAAACTGGATTGTATAGTTTAAGAGGTTTTTTTTAATTAAATTCCTCTGAAAAGATAGCAAAAATTGCAATTATCCATTCCAGGACACTGTAAGGAATGGAAAGCAAGATATGACACAAAGGGAGAGTTTCAAAGAGAGAACTTAGCTAGGATATCAAGAAGCAACACTTACCCAAAACTGTGGGGACCTCAGATCTAGCTCTTTGAATTAAAATTTTATGAAACATGCTGTGCAGGTGCTTGAGCTGCTTAAATAAGCCTTTTCATGAAACATGTATTCAATAAATACACCAATTTCTTTTCTGAAATGGGATGACTGTTTGTACCAAGGTCAGAGAAAAATCCTTATAAAATAAAATCAAACATGGGAGTTTTCTGGCACTGATAAATATCATCTCCTCTTTACAAATACTAATTATAAATTGATTGGGCCCTCCTTTATAATATAAATCATTCTTGGGATGTTTGATTTCATTTGTCACAGGAGTATTTGGGTAAATGATTTTTTTAAAGATTTTATTTATTTGAAAGAGCTTGAAAGAGAGAGAGAGCACAAGCACAGGGGAGGGGCAGAAGGAGAGGGAGAAACAGGCTCCTGGCGAAGGCAGGAGTCTGACATGGGGGCTGGGTCCCAGGGCCCTGAGATCATGACCTGAGCCAAAGGCAGACGCTTAACAGACTGAGCCACCCAGGCCCCCAGTAAATGTTTTTTTTAAAAAGATTTATCCATTTATTTTAGAAAGAGAGAGAGCATGAGTGGGAAGGGGAGAGGGAGAGAGAATCTCAAGCAGGTTTCATGCTCAGTGCTGAGCCCTGATGAGGGGCTTGATCTCAGGACCCTAAGATCACGACCTGAACCAAATCCTAAAGTCTGATGTTTAATAGACAGCACCACCCAGGTGCCCCTAGGATAAATTATTTTAATATAAATTCCAGCAAACATTTACTAAATCCCAGTATATGTTAGTATGAAATTCATGAAAAGATGAATAATACAGTCTCTACCATTATAAAGAGCACCATCTAGCAAAAGGGCTGAGGAATGGAAGACCAATTTGAAAACAACTAGTTTCAATACACTGTTTGCAGACATCAGGAACAGCATAGTAGACTGAGAAGTAGACACTAATA